TGCCGATACTTCTCTACAGTAAACTTATTACCCTTTTTAAGTACAGGTATAACAGATGTACTTTCCAAGCATTGGGAACTGATGATATTTCCACTGAAGAAAGTGGAAAATGAACACTTTCTCAAAACTGCTGTAGGAAAGTGACTCGGGGCTAGTAGTTGACTTAGATAAAGCACCTGGCTTATCATGAACTTTCTCACACGTCATTTCAATAAATTATAAAATCATTTCAGCTTAATCAAATTTGGAACTGGCACAAACTTGAACATTTTTTTTTGACAATCACCAACAGTCAGAAAATTAGAAAGTTTATTAAAACTGGGACTGAAATTCAATTCTATTGTCCATATTTTTCAGCGATCTATAATTATTCAAAGTTTATTTACTCAGTCTTATCTACACCACAAAATGAAAATTGGTTAAAAAATTTAAATATGAATTGCGACGTCATTAGCGAAAATTTATTCCACTGCGATGGCAAAATGGCTTTAGTAACGCCAAATTTATTCACTACACTGGCAGACATAGACAAGGCTAATAGCTAGAACCGTTAATAAAAAAATAATATCTAGTTGTAAATTAAAATGATGCATAAATTATTATTAGAAATTTATGATATTAGTAACTACTTGTAAATTAAAATAGTCGTTTTGGCAAATATCGGCGGACCCACAAAATATTAATTAGGTCTTCAGTTATCAGAATCATAAGTCATAGTTATGCCAGCCGCATCATCAGTATATTAACAGACATTTAGTGATTTTCATACCAGTAAAAAAAATTTGAATAAGAAAAAAATCGCTCATGTAAGTAGTATGTAACTAATTCTCTTACCAAAAAAATTTAGAGATACGTTTTTAAGAAACAAACGTTAACATTTTCCACATCATGATGATGTTTCTTACCATCAATAAATAATCTAAAAATTATTCCCGGAAGTAACAGACCGGAACTATTAATTTTGTCCTCATAAAAAAATAAAATAACTGAACACTGGACTATTTTTCATTTGATTTAGTGAGTGCTAAACTATAAATAATTAATAAAAAAAACCAATGGAACCCACTTATCCCATCTGTTTATTTGAATATTTTGCTATTTGGAAAAAATTAAAAAATTAATAAACTCAAAAGATGAATTGAAATTTATAAAAAATGTATTAAGGAACATTCATTACCTGGGAATTTTGTTAATAAAATTTTCAAGAATTTTGAAAATAAAACAAATTCTGCAAGACAACAAAAAGAATTTACTCAAAATAAAAATTCCATATACCTACTTCTGCATCGAAAAAATTAAAGAGAATAGGTAACGTAAAAAAGTTATTTTTTCAGACAAATAAAACTACGGATTTTTCAAAAAGAAACGTTATTCACTGTTTTGAAAACCGAAAAGGATTATTTTTCAAAATAATATGTTATTTTTTAGTTTGATTTTCTTCTAGTTTGAAATTTTTGATTAGGCAAAACTATTTTCATAAAAAAATAACCTTTAACTGATCTTTTTGAAGCGATTTTTTTTTATGTTTTCCGCAATATATTTATTTCGAAAATTTTTTAAATAGATGAAATAATCGTTTCACAACTTACTGATATAAATATTAATAACAGTTAACAGTATAAACAATGTTATTATCACTTACTCGGTTTGTTTATAAAAAATCTACAACAATTTTCGAATATGTAACTTATAATTAATGTCAACACTAATCAGTGTTGACCTATTAAAAATGGGAGGTATATGTAAATGAACAGTTTTTCTTTGTTTATATTATACTGAAGGTTTAATTTGTTATACTTTAACATTTCAGCACATGAATGATCCCACAATAAATAAATTTATTCGTTTCTCTGATTGATAATTGTCGCAAGCCATCTTCGATATCTATGGACATCACTAAATGTACATTCTTCGCTATTATTTTGTTTTTAACAACGTGCAAATTTGAAAAAGTTATCGTGAATTAAGGTAAAGCATTTTATAGATCGTTAACCAAGATATTTTAGTAAGTGCAAGCTTTTTAGTAAAAAAACATACAATTTTTAAATTTTAAAATAGAACTTAGCAAGAACTATCTACGAAAATATTGGGGTTCTTCAAATCAAATGTTATAATGATTATCTACCTATATTATTGAGAACAAAACTGTACATATTAAAAATTTTATTTATTTTCTTCAAATATTTGAGAAATTGAACTTTTTCCATACCTTTTAAAGATTCTGGTAATGAATTATGGGATACTCTTTGTAATTTAAATGCCCTTATTGCTAAATGACAAATTTAATTCATATTGTTACTATTAATAATTGCAAATTTATCCTTAATGCCTAATTAATTATATTGAACTAATTATAAATAATTATGCATAGGTAATATCATGAAGGCTAGCATAGAGTTCATATATTTTTTTTTTGTTTTTATTTGTCAATGTTATTATTATTTTCCTGTTTCTTACTGCTTTGTTACTTCGTATCACTGGATTATTTTTTATTCAAAAGTAAATCGTATATCCGGAATTCCTTCAACTTAATGCATGATTTTATTGAAAAAATTAATGGTGCCTCACTTACGTACTTTTTTATTTGCTACACGAAAATGAAAAACAAATAAAATTTAAATAAAAATATCTTTTTGACACAAACAGCTATTTATTTAATAGTTTTTCAAATAGTTTTTCTTTCTGCCTATAATTCAATATCAGGGCCAATCCCGACCACTTTTTTATGCGAAAATTAATAAAGTACTACTAGAATTTTGTTACCAAAAATTTATCAATTTTTATAGTACCTATTAGCATTACAATATATTCCGTATAAGGAACAGGTTTTTAGGTATTCGTTCATATTTTTAAAGATCGAATTTTATGTTTTTTGACATAAACAGTTTTTCTCGACTATTATTAGAACAACATGTACCGTTAAAAATATTTCGAGCCTAACTGAAAACCAAGAATTTCTTTTGTTTCAAGCCACCCTTTTTAAGAATTCCTTGGAAAATTTTTCCATCTCTTAAAAAAAACGTTAAAATTAAATAAAATATCATGGACATGGCTAGATGTACATTTTTTATGTTGGTAAAGTGGACACAGAGATTTAGGTATTTTCGCAAAAAATGTACAACTAAGTAGCTTGAAAATCTGTACATTTCAATAGTACAAATTACTTACGGAATATAACTGTACAATTTATAGATTTAATTTTACCAGTTTTTTCGTAAAAGTTTTATAACAACTTTGTGAAGCTCTTTATTAAATATAAAAATATTTAAAATGTTTCAGGCAATGAAGGCAACTAGAACAAAGCTTTCTTATGGTACTCAACTGAGAGAGTTATACAAGAAAGATAGTTTAATTAATTTTTAACTGAAAAATACTAATATAATCTTAAGTCCATAGTCCAAAGGCGGCCAAAATGCTAAATTTAAATGAGAAAAAATGCCTAACTCCAAGACGACTTCCAGGAAATGATTCTCCTTCGGTATGATCTAATAAAACTTCGTGGATTTGATATCAAAATAACAACAGGTTTGAAATACATCGAAATTCCTCAATCGGCTTTAAAAAGCTAAAAAGGTATCAGAACATGTATAAATTTGTTAAATTAACTAGAATTGGCATTAAAAACATTAAAATCTACCAAAACGGTTTTAGTTTTCATTTTCAAAAATGGCAAAATACGTTAACATTATATGAGAAATCTATCGGAAGAATTTTAAATTGCAGTCAGTACCTACATCAAAACCCTTCGAGAAACGTCTGTTTTGTTGAAATACATCAAAATACTTCGAAATAGAAAACTTTCAAATATAGTACAAATATATCGGAAGATTAAGGTCAACAATCGACACTCAAAGATCAAGACGGGGGCAGCAAAGGTCAACTTCCTTAGACACTCGAGATCTTAGATCTTTAACTTTGGAGTTGGCTATCTTTGGCCTTTGAGGTCAATGACTTTTGACTACCAAGATAGTGGATCTCGATTTTGGGGCCATTGACTTTTGGCTCGCGAAGTCATTAACCTTTCGTACTCGGGGCCATTGACCTTTGGCACCCGAGGCCATTAATTTTAAATACCCATGGATTAACATTTGACCTTTCGAGGTGTTTAAATAAGTTTAGGGAAAATTTAGATAGGTTTTCAAAACATTTCCAGGTATTTTAGAGCTTTCGTTAAAGTCTTGCAACTTTAGTTGTCATAACTATTTTAAATTGTTATGAATGGGCATAACACTACCTACTTGGACTATTTTTGTCCTTGATGTATACAAGCACATGTATAAAATCTATTTAAAAACTGCAAATAATTGTTTAAAAACATGTATATAAATACATCCAAGTAACCAAGTAGTTATTTTATCCAAGTAGTTATTTTATTTTCCATATAGGCAAATTCGGAGTATTGCAGTTCTAAATTTTATATGGGTTACTAATAATTATAAGTAGTTTTTACTAATATTAACTCGTTTATTGTTAGAATTATTTTTTGTAAGAAATTTTTATGATGAAACATTGTTAGCACTTGATAAAGAAAAGTTACTAATTTATTTGTCCAAAATAATAAGACGTAAGACATACAAATGTAATGAAATTGAAAAAAGAACAAATTACCAATTATTTTAGTTTAAATTGCATCTATTATACTCGTAGAGTTACTAGCAGGAGCTAAATATATTATTTATAATTATTACTCGCATTTTACATTTTGAAAGAAAATAAATGAGTTACGTATGTCGTCTATTTTTTTCGACACAATGTTTTAAAATATCATTTGATTGGCTTTAAATATTGAAACCGAACGAACAATATTTTCTGATGCGGACATACTACTCCTGCAATTCAACTTTTATTTATGGCCAAACAAAAAACATTTCGCTACAAAATGGGTTGTTTAAAAACATTTGTATGTGAACATTGTAAGTCTGCATATATAAAAAAAAAAACTACGCCTCTGCGTCTCTCTGGCGGAATCTTACATGTGAATAATCCAACATTGTACTTACGTGAGTAGGCCTGGGTTGTCCGTGGGGTACCACGAGTACTGTGGGAGGTAGTTGTGCGGAGGGTGCGGGTGCGGCGCGGGATGGGGCGGCGGGTGGATCGGTTGCTGGGGCTTCACGTCCCATCCGGGACTGGCGGCCGGCTGTCCCGATATATCCGAGCCGGGGGTGGAACTGGGGGTGGGCGACGAGTGTTGCATGTACCCCGTCGCCGGGGATCCGCTCGACGACCCGCCTCCTGCAAAACGCAAACAGACAAGCGTTACAAGCGAGCCGGGAGCTAAGCGCCGTCATGCGGACGACTTTCTGCCTAGCAGCAGGGCAACAGTCTCTTTCTCTCCGTTTCTACACCGAAGGAAACGTCTCGTTATGATAAAAAAGCTGTCTGTGGCGGTCACCCCCGCTGATGAGGCACGACTAGGTCGAAATTGTCGACTCCAGATAGGGGAGTGACCAACATAGATGTAACTTGTAGGTTAAAATATCCCTAGACTCCTAGACGATTGAACGATAAGGATTAGCAGTCATTTACATATACAGGGTGTCCAAAGTATTGTAATTTAACGAAACTTACCTATTTACAAATCCCTGAGGAGTTACCGGCCCCCAAAGTGGGGCCCTAAATTTCTAAAAAAATGAATAGCTCTGCAACACTACCGCAGAAGAACAAAATTTGGTACATGATTTAGGTTTATTACTGGTCTTCTTTGACTATCATTTAAAGTTAATTGAAGCACTACAAGGTGTTCATTGGGGATGACTCACCCCTAAAACTGTACCGAACTTTTTTTTCTTTGGCCGAATTGAAAAATAGTAATTTTAATTCACAGCAGAACTTAATTTTAAATTTTATTTTACTCTTGGTAAATTTTAAAAAACTATGGTTTTCAAGAAAAACCGTATTAACTGACACAAGATTTTAAGAGTGTTCATTAGAAAATAATCAAAAAGTCAGTAGTAGGCTTTATATTTCAAATTTGACAATTGGCCAAATAAATTTTACTTCACTTCTCTCCTAATTCTACAAAAAGAAAACAAGTACGTAGGTAGTTTTTAAATAAACGAATATTGCATTAAGTAAAACATACAAATAAATAATAAAATTAATAATTGATATTTTTTCAACAACAATCAGAGGCAATTGTTGAAATAAAATAATTTTATTACTAACTGACAAGTTTAAAAGATAAATTCATTGCATACTACTGACCTTTCGATTATTTTCTAATAAACACTGATAAAATCTTGTTTCAGTTAATACGGGTTTTCTTGAAAACCATGGTTTTTTAAAATTTAACAAGTCCTAAAATTTTTAAAATTAAATTCTGCTATGAGTTAATATTATTATTTTTCAATTCGGTCAATGAAAAAAAAGTCCGGTACAATTTTAGGGGCAAGTCATCCCCAATGAACACCTTGTAGTGCTTCAATTAACTTTAAGGAGGTTCGATACCGAAAAATGGTAAGAAAGTTTTCAGAATCATTGAAACCTGTTAATAAATATGCCAACTAGTCCAGGCGGTACTTGTTTCGGGTTGGGTAAAACGCATATGATCGGAGATTTTTGCTTTAACGGCTTCTAAATAACATCAGAAATGATAATATTTCTATGCTAATATAAAAANGGCGTTTCTTAATATCGTGCTAATATTTAAGGAGGTTGTTCTTGGGTCTATTTTAAGAAAAAAAAACTTTATATGAACATATGTCCTAAAAGTCTTAACCTTTGAACTACAGGGTGCTAAAGTTTTATGAAAAAACTTTTTTTTATGATAACTTTGGTATTATCCTAGATATTTTTTTCAAATTTGGAACACGCCTTCTATTCATCGAGATGCATTTTCTAATGTACGAACAATTTTATTATTTTTGCCAGTGGCGTCTGTACAGGTTTTGTATTGAATATTTTTGAAGAAAGCACGCCAGGGTAATTTTCTTTTACCAATCCAAAATGTCTGTAGATTACTGTAATTTCATAATTTCAATGTTTACAAGTTATTATCTTAAATAAATTATTGTTCAAAGTTACATAATTTTTTTTCTCGTAAATAAGATGCAAATGAATGAATTTTATTTTTTTATGCGAAAACCGTACGTCAAACGAAAAAATTCAGAACACCACATTTGCTCAGAAAGGAATGAGGATTTCAAAAATGATTTTTACTTAAAGAAAAAGCAGTGGCGTAACATATTTTTCTTCAAAAATATTCAATACAGACGCCACTGGCAAAAATAATAAAATTGTTTGTACATCAAAAAATGCATCTTGATGAACAGAAGGCGTGTACCAAATCTGAAAAAATATGTATGGTATGTAATACCAAAGTTATAATGAAAAAATGTTTTTTCATAAAACTTTAGCACCCTGTAGTTCAAATGTTAAGACTTTTAGGGCATATGTTCACATGAAGTTTTTTTCTTAAAATGGACCCAAGAATAACCTCCTTAAATATTAGCACGTTGTTAAGAAACACCCTGTATAATAATAATATTTAATTTTTTTATATTTTTTAACAACAATCAGAGGCAATTGCTGAAATAAAATTTTTTTATTACTAACTGACAAGTGTGAAAGATAAATTCATTGCCTACTACTGACTTTTCGATTATTTTCTAATAAACACTGTTAAAATCTTGTTTCAGTTAATACGGTTTTCCTTGAAAACCATAAAGTTTTTCAAAATTTAACAAGAGTAAAAAAAATTTTAAATTAAGTTCTGCTGCGAATTAATATTACTATTTTCAATTCGGCCAATAAAAAGAAAGTTCAGTACAATTTTAGGGGCGAGTCATCCCCAAGTCATACACCTTGTAGTGCTTCAATTAACTTTAAATCATAGTCAAAGAAGACTAGTAATAAACCTAAATCATGTACCCAATTTGATTCTTCTGCGGTAAAGTCTTGCAGAAATATTATTTTTTTTCCCTAATAACTCCTCAGGGGTGCAACTTTGTATATAGGCAAGTTTGGTTAAATTACAATATTTTGGACACCCCTACATGCACCTGCCCTGTGCCGGTTCTAATGCGAGACACCCTGTGTAATATCTAAAGACAATTATTAAATAATTTATCAATAACCAGACGCTCCTTGGTGTAAGCTTATTTATACAGTATGAATCTTATCTGTGGACAAGTGGATCAAATTTGTCAGTTTTTGAAAGTTTTCCCTATTTATAAAAATAAATTAGATGTCACCGCCTTTGAAAAATTGCGAAAACGCATCTCGATATCTTAATTCTTTTAAAAGATACAGGACGTCCTTCATTTTGGTTCTATTTCATGATGTTCTGTAAGATTTATGTTCAAGAAAAGATTTTTTACACAGTTTTTAACGTAAAATCCAGCAGCGTATGTAACATTTTTCTATAGCTTCCGATTTTTCAATTATAACACAAATTTTAAATTTTTCGAAATATAAAATTTCACATCAAATGAAATATCATATATAATATTTACACAAAAAATTTCTCCCTAGGAATAGACGCCAATAATCATTTGTTTATTATGCAATTGCTTCTTAACATAATTACAGTGAGCCATGGAAGTGTCCGATGTATATCGACGAGAAAAATCGACGGACGATTACTGAATTGTATCAAAAACAATTGATTTGCAAAAAATTACTCTAATGTATATGTATAGATATAATTTTATTTAAACGGCAATTTTAAAAAGTTTTTAAACATCGAAAGATATATAGAGTTCCATCTAAAAAATATTTTTTCTCAGAAACCAGAAGTTATAGAATAATATTGCTCCACTGGATTCTAGCAAATGTAAAAAAGTTTTAGAAAAATCAAATATATTCACAAACAAATAATTTATAGAGCATCATAAAAAACGTTAAAATTTAAAAAAAACGCCCTGTACATCTGAACTGAATCAAGATGTCGAAATGCTGTTTTTAGCATTCGCATTTTCTCGAAAATCTAGCAGGGTATCATCTGAAGTACTATTTTTTTCTTATTTCAAGGAACAGGGAACATTTCCTAGGTATTAAATTTGGCCCACCCGATATACCGGGTGTCCCAAATTGCTCACGCCAAATTTTACGTAATTATAGAACGCCTCAATATAAAAAAGTGCTTAGGTACAAACATAGCTCGTAGAACGGTTTGGGGTATTGGCTTTAGTTATGGTAAATAAGATAATNCTATTTTTTTATACTTTTTTGCAATAACAATTAAGCCCACGTTTTTTTTTATTTGCATAGAAAAATTATCATTTCTGATGTTATTTAGAAGCCGTTAAAGCAAAAATCTTCGATCATATGCGTTTTACCCAAGTACACCCTTTCTAAGACAGATATCGCCTGGACTAAACTGACTCGTGTAAAAATATCAGATCGAATGCCAATATAGTTTTTTTGAAAAATGATTATGCTCTTATACACAGGCTCTTATGGGAGTTGGGAAAAAACTTTAATCAAACGTGAATCTTACTCTTGAAAATGATTAGGATGTGGAAAATAAAATTCTAATTAAAGAATTAAATATTACTAAACATTTTAAAACATTAAAAATATGCACTTCCAATGTAATTATTGAGAATGGAATGAATATTATAACGTTTTGACAAATTTGAACAAACATCTGATCCAATAAAGGGAAATATGGCAACACTGTACGCTGTATTTAACGCTTCGACTGACGCGCTAGACTATATAATTATTCTAGTCGAAAACATATGTAGTAATAATTAATATTAAATAAATTTTTCGTGATCTAATGCAATATAATAGCAAATTGAAACAAAAATTGAAAGGATTTCGTTGCAAAACGAACAGTATAGATGTTCTGTCATTATCTTTAATTTGACAAGGCGACGTATCACTGGTATCACCATCATACACTGAGCTTTTTCTCACTTTTTTCTCATCAATCCACATTCTGTTTCATACGCATTTTATATTGCTTTTCAGTCATTACTTTTCCTTTGTATCTTGGATGTTCATTCATCTTTACAGAATACGCGCAAAGCACAGTTGACAGTAATGACAGTTGACCCAACTTTTACCACCACGCCATGGCAGTGGCAATGATGTCAGATTTTATCAATAGTTTTACAAGCTCTAATGAATAAATAGACACTTTTATTCAAATAAAAAGTTAATTGCCGTGCATTAAACACAAAAAATATATGCAAGCTAATATGTGTTGTATAAATTTCATTCGTATATATTATATTTAGTTCGCTCAAGTTAGTTTATGTAAGGATGGTATTACAACGAAACTA